ACACGCAGCGGAAAAAATAAATTATAACAGAATTGCGTTTGTTCAGTTACAAGAAAACTTTTTTAGGAGGTGCAGAATTTGTATTGAGCAGGAAGGGAGACATTTTGATAACTTTTCATAATAAATAATGTATTACAGTTTTTTTTTGTTTCATTTAGTTAGTCCGAACCTCGACCACCACATGAATCAGTTTCAAAAAAAGCAAGAACCGAGACTGAAGTAGGCATGGAATCAGATTTTCGTTCACCTTTAATTAAAGATAAAAAAAAAATTGATAATAAAGAGGTAAATGACAGGATGGTAAAGTTTTTGGACTCCAGAATAAACCCAGAAAAGGAAAACCATCATCTATCTTTCTTCAAAGGCATTATACCAATCTTGAACACTTTAACTATCGAAGAGACTTTAGAATTTCAAGCTAGCGTCATGACAATGTTGCAAAAAATTAAAAGTAGGAATTATGAGAGACCAAATTACGGACATTGGCGTGATTCATATAATCAGATAACCGGACCAGATCAGTATTCTGGATACTACACACATAATAGCGTCAATCAACAGCCAATACCTACGCAAGATCAACACTACCCTGGATACTCTACGCAATATAATAGTAGCAATCAACAGGCAACAACATCTATACCATCAACTTCATCTCAGACATCGAATCCGATTCCAGCTTCGCCATCAGCATCTAGTAATCGTTCCATACATTCCCAAGACTCAGATTACTTAGATTTTGAAGGGATTTAAGTTTGAGTACAAATAAATACTTAAATAATTGTTTGCATTTTTAATTCATAATGATTATCAAATACATACACCCTCCCACACACACACATTATATATATTCACATTCATGAAACAAACATACATAGCAAACATTCATTCATTCATACAGTCTTAAGTAGGTACCTACGTCAAAACTATTATTACGCAATCTAGTGCATAAAATAATCTTACCTTAGACATATGACTAATCTTTGTTCTGGGCAAATACATTCTCTGAAACTTGTATCTCGTACTCTTATGTCTAGTCGTCCCAGTAAATCGTCAAAAGTGGTTGCTGTCATTCGAAAATAATTGAAGAACTTTGATTCGTCTCTTCTAAGTTCACCCATTAATGTTTCAAATGTTCCAAGTGAAAATCTTTCCCGTAAAATAGGGTGTACCCAATGTTTTCTTTTATTTTGCCTTCTATTAAGATACCACCACAACACAACAATTTCGTCGTCCATTGTGCGCGCAGGTCCAAATTCAACTGAGGACTGTCTGTATTTCTTCCGGGATCCGATGTAATGTGAACACTCTGTCCGGTGTCCGGTTTTCGGCAGATCTGCCGGTCCGGCGTAGTGGGAACCCGGACTATGGCCTCTTTTCCATTACACGGTTTCTCGCCGTAAAAATCTACGGTTAATTCGCCGCGTGTAGGCACGGTCGTCAGTGTGGTATGGATCACTATATGAGCTTGTCGACATGCACGGTGGCGCCAAGGCACGGCGCCGCGGCCGCGTGCGTCGTGACTGCCCCTCGGCGCGCCGCGTCTACGCACGGCGTGATTTTCACCAGTGTTGTATGGCAGTCTATCGGGGTGTGTCGACGGTGCCGGACGTACGCACGGATTCGTGACCGCTTATATACGCTGTTTCGCGATTTTATTATAAAATGAACATACATCAAGAATTATTAATTACGTTGATTCAAGAAAGGCCTGTAATATGGGATAAGACCATCGACGATTATAAAAATAAGTGGCTTAAATATGATTCCTGGAAAGAAATATTTATTCATTTCCAGCCCACATTTGAAGATTTAAGTGGTGATGAGAAAAACAAGTTTGGTAAGTTACAGATATTTAATTATTAACTTTTTACTTATGCATAGTTGTTTTGATAGGAGAGGCGACCTTCGTTAGATACAAAATATTGTGCAAATCTGTTGTGAACTTCATTAAACTTCTTACCACAAGACAGTCTTTTCTTCTGAAACATGCTGCTGACTCGCAGAAGCTTAGCCGTACAAGAGGAGTCCAAATTAAAGCTAGCATTAAAGGAATTGCAGTCTACGAAGGAACTCTGTGCTCAACTTACTTTGGAAAGAGAGGAAAATGAGAAGGAGTTTTTAGAGATACTAGACAGTAAAAAGACACTCAAATCCGAATTATCTTTATTAGTTCAAGAAAATACTCAATAGGCTGGATAACTTTGGCATTGAGTATGAAACTGCTTTGGGGCGCATTAACATTCTTGAAAAGGATTTGTGTGAGGCCAATCAACATATAAACAAACTTGAAAGTTGCAGACTTGGAAACACAAAACCAATTCAATGAACTAGTTGGTCGCCCACTACATTAAGCAAATATTAACTGAACGAGTAATCCCAGTGTTATGTAGGTAGATATAACATTCTTAATAAAAGTCAGTCACTCTCGGTCTACTAGCGTGTTATTACAACGTCCCACACAAATATAACATTGGCGACGAGGATAATTGTTTACAATGCCTATTGGTAACGTGGAACTATATAATTTAAATAGTTTTTTAATTTTATTTTACAATAATTCAACCGGTAAAGAAACCGTCTTTCGATTTATGCTAACCGGCTTTGGTACTGTTAAAAATGTATAGCCGTTGACATAAAAACAAACCAACTAATGCTATCTGGCAACCCTTTTAATGTACTCTGTGTCTATGCGAATAAATTAGTCGTGTATTCAAAATCAAAATGAACTGTCGTTTTATTAGGTTATGGGCCCAGTATGCCAGTAGTTTAAATTTAAAAGTATAAGTTTGCTTTATTTAGCTTAGGCGCGGTGTATAATACCTGTAAAATAGAAACTGTGAATGCAAGTAGTGAATTAACGGAAATGGCTACAAATTCTTTCTTGAACAGTATTCCCAAATTAAAAGGTCGGTAAAATTATGACGACTGGGCGTTTGCGGTGGAGAATTTGCTCATTCTGGAGGGTGTGGCTGATTGCATAAAGCAAGAGAAACCACAAGCAGCCACAGCAGCAAGCGCAGCAGAAGATGCCAAGGCCAAAGCCAAGTTAATTCTAACGATAGATCCATCATTATATGTACACATTAAGGAAGCTAAAAGTACTAAGGATTTGTGGCAGAAATTGAAGTCAATGTTTGATGATTCTGGGTTTTCAAGGAGAATCACATTATTACGAAATCTCATTTCGATTCGACTCGACGGTTGCGATTCAATGACCACCTACATCACTCAAATAATTGAGACAGCCCAAAAAATATCAGGAACAGGTTTTCCAGTGAATGATGAGTGGATTGGTTGTTTATTGTTAGCTGGTTTACCCGATAAATATTTTCCAATGATAATGGCGATCGAACATTCTGGAATCGCCATAACAGCTGACGTGATAAAAACTAAGTTAATTGATTTGACACATGATAGTTCGGAGTCAGGAAGTGCTTTTTTCCACAGAGGGCAGCACAGTCGCAAAAATCGCCACGTCGGTAATAGAAGTGACAAAAATGACAGCTCTCGTAGCAACAATAAATAAATCAGATAAACAGAAAATAAAATGCTACAAGTGCCAAGAATTCGGGCATTATAAAAATCAGTGCACCAAGGAACCAAACCAACAACATGTACTAAAGACAACGAACGCTTTTTCCGCAGTTTTCTTGAGTGGAAATTATTCTAAAAATGACTTTTATGTGGATAGCGGTGCCAGTGTTCATTTGACCCCGGATGTAAACGTTGTAAAAAATCCGTGTTTTTCACCCCGAATAAAGGAGATAATAGCAGCAAACAAAAGCGCTATGCCCGTAGTGTGCTCGGGTGATGTAAATATAATAACAAAAACTTCAAGTACCCGATATGAAGTGACATTGAAAGAAGTTTCATGTGTTCCTAACCTCTCCACAAACTTGATTTCTATTAGTCAGCTGATAAAAAACGGCAATAGTGTAGAGTTAAAAGATAATTGCTGTTACATTTACAACCAAGAGAACAGTTTGGTTGGAATGGCAGACGAAATAAATGGTCTTTACAAGTTGAGGTTAGAAAACGAGCAGTGTTTGTTTACATCTTCTATTGCATCGACTAGTAGTGAAGTTTGGCACAGAAGAATGGGATATTTGAACATGAATGATTTGAAGAAGATGAGAGATGGAGTAGTCACGGGTATTACTTACTCAGATAAGTCGGAGATCAACAAAGGTACGCAGGAACAAGGAGCAGCAAACCATTGGATGCAATCCATGCTGATGTTTGCGGACCAATGGAGATAACTTCAATCGGTGGATCAAGGTACTTCCTTATATTTGTTGATGATTTTACTCGTATGGCTTTTATTTATTTTCTCAAAGCAAAAAGTGAAGTTTTCAAATACTTCAAGGAGTTCAAATCTTTAATAGAAAATCAACAGAATTTAAAAATTTTCGGAGAGATAATGGCTTGGAGTTCTGTAATAATGAGTTTGAAAATGATTTAAAAGCTGAGGGCATTCTTCATCAAAAGACAAACCCTTACACCCCGGAACAGAATGGCATGAGTGAGCGTATCAACAGATGTTGAAAGGGCACGGTGTCTATTATTTGATGCAGGTTTAGATAAGAAGTTTTGGGCAGAAGCAGCAAATACTGCCGTCTATCTTAGAAACAGGTCTGTTGCATCAGGATTAGATAAATAATATGACGATATACCCGCAGGATCGCACACAGCTAGCATCGTTTACAACGACCAGACTGAACAGTAACAGGCAGATTGTTAGGTCCCGCCCAGAATACAACATCTGTGTGTGTTGTAGTGATATTAGACCTGGAATCCTGCACAGGAGTGATTATTACGTATGGCCGTGGGAAGAAACGCACTTCCTACGAGCACAAAGTTGTGGTATATGCTATGTGGATGTGAATTCGCATGAGATTATGCATATCCCCGCATGGCCATGACCCACAACGACATTCGCTTCCTGTTGGATGCAAAATATTTCTGGTGCGTGTGTGGGCATATGGCGTTCAACCACACTATCCTTCAGATGGCAGTAATCAAAGATGGTAGAAAAATAAAAACTGTTGCATTTGCCATATGACATTATCCGGATTCGTAAAAAAAGTAAGATATAAAGAAGAAAATATCACAACTTGCTATAAAAAAACAAGCGCCACATTAACAGACGAACAGGTAGATAACTTGGCAGAATATACATCTAAGGTCCATTTGAACTGCCCAAAAACTTAACGGGAGGAAGTTATTTAAGCTTCTTGCAACACGACCTGCCAAATTTAACGCATAAGGTGGCCGAAGAAGTCAGGGAATGCCATTGGTTGCAAAATGATGGTTACCCAGCACATTACGCAATAAATGTTCGAGCTTATTTAAATGCCACATATTCGAAAAAATGGATTGGTCGTCTGGGCCCTGTTTGGTGGCCTCTACGTTCTCCTCCTGTTTTAAACCCACTAGATTTTTTTTACTGGGGCTCTATAAAAGAAGTTTATTCCAAGCCCATTACAAGTTTGAACGAATTACGCAACCGCATCCATGAAGCCATGCACGATTTCCTAGAAGATCATTTATTAGAAGATGTCGTGCATGTAAGGGGTGTCTGGCCGCAGATTTATAGTTTAACACGAACAAAAAATAAAAATCGTAAAAATACTTTTGGTCGTAATTTGTTTATTATGTTACGATGCGTAAGAAAATATATTTTCCGGTACCCGGCGCCGCGCCGGCCACCCGCTACACCAGTAGTGCGCTCGCGCTTACGGTGATAGAACGTGTGTTACTAGATCAATTACGTTCCTACTATCTTAGCTGTCATCATTTTCTTATTGAATAGTTGTGCGAGCCTTTAGATATGGATTTAGCTATGGAGGACTTCGAATTTACGCAGGATGAATGGAAGCAAATCAACGCGTTAGAAATTTCTGTTTCGATCGCTTCTATAAACAATGACGCTCTCGTAGAATCGGATAGTGAATCCGTGCAATTACCGAATAAGAAAAGACGTTTGGTTATAGCAAGTGACAGTGAGTCGGCTGAAAATTATGTTGCCGCCAATATATCGCAAAATGACCGTATTTCCTTTAAATGGTCGAGGCCAAAAAGACGACAGCCATCAGTGATTCCTTTCACCGAGTTCGAGGGTATGAACCTCCATATTCTAATTTGCTGAAAGAAGCTGGCCCTGACCAGTATTATGATCTATTGGTGCCTGAAGAAATTCTTGAAATGATTGCTGAGCAGACAAATTTGTTCGCAAGTCAAAACATCACAGCCAGGCAAAAAAAGCCTGGATCAAGGTCTCATTCATCGAAGCCAACAAACAAGACAGAAATAAAACAGTTTCTTGGGTTGGTCTTGTTTATGGGCGTAGTAAAGCTGCCGAAATTATCTTATTATTGGAGCAAAGTCAAGATACTTGGACAAACTTTTCCAGCCACCGTTATGAGTAGGAACCGCTTCGAGTTACTACTGCAATACCTACACTTTAGCGACAATTTATCTGTCGACAGAAACGATCGCATTGCCAAAATAAGACCTTTAATCGATGCTCTCAATGCTACTTTCCAGAAATATTATTCGACTAAAGAAGATGTTTGTGTGGATGAAAGGAAAGTACCTGTCAGAGGTCGAATAATATTCAGGCAATACAATAAAAGTATGCGACACAAGTATGGCATTAAGCTATTTAAGTTATGTACTGTTCCCGGATATACTTGTAAACTTAATTTGTATAGTGGGAAAAACATTGACGCAATAAATACTACGCCAACAAATGTGGTGATGACACTATGTGAAAATATATTTGACAAAGGACACACGCTAGCAACTGATAATTGGTACACTAGCTTGCAACTGGCTTATCGGTTATTGGAGAAGCAAACCCATTTAATTGGCACATTGCGAAAAAACAGAAGAGGATTGCCTAAGGCTGTTGTTGATTCGAAACTGCAAAAAGGTGAAACAATGGCTATGGAGAATGAAGATGGAGTAACAGTGCTTAAATGGAAAGATAAGAGGGACGTGCTTATGCTGTCGACAAAGCATTCCGACAAAATTGATGTGGTGGTGAAAAAAAGCAAACAGATTCGTAAACCAAAAGTTATTTTGGATTATAAATCGAAAGGGTCTGTAGACATGAGTGACCAGATGGGTGCCTATTCTTCGCCATTGCGGAAAACTGTAATATGGTAACACAGTTGTGCGGCTAATGCGTA